TGTTGTATTGTAGAATGCGAGTCCCGTGACCAAAACCCAATCCCTCTTTAATGCGATCTAACTAGACGACGATCAGGAAAGGTGCAATCCTCAGTCCTACTGTCAAGCCGCATTTTTGTTAATGGAATTCTCCATGAAATTGGAAGATATTACACTGTAACCTAGCAATCAAAAGCTGGCGTGGATCGTTTAATAAGAGTCCGGATGTGCAGTCCTGGGGCCGCATGCTTCCCCCCCTCCCCCTCCCCCGAAGGGGTTAGGGGACGAAATTTTTTTAAATTCTCTACATAGACCGTCTTCTCTTCGCTACAGGTTTTACGTGTAAAAATATTGCCATACACGAGCACTCACGGGAGATTTGCTCTAGGTCGACCTTTGTGTCGTTCTCGAGTTCAATTCAAAATGGCCCTCCGGAATTATTGCTTTTTCAAGCGGCTAAGTATTTCTTCAAAAACCTCTTTTCCGATTTTCTTTTAATATAATGAAGTCGCTTCCTTTCAAAAGTGCCGATTCGTTTAATATGCTGACTTTCAAGCTATCCTTACGCTCCTCCGAAATGTGCCTTTCTGACGACTGGTGCGGGCAATGTCAGGTTCAATCCCAATCTTTACAATGATGGAAAAATCTGTCTGTCAATACTCGGTACTTGGGAAGGACGACCTGAAGAAAAATGGAACTCATACTGCTCACTGATGCAAGTGCTGATTAGCATCCAGGTTGGAACCCTGACAACTAATCACTGGAACTGAATTTTTTAATAAAGCGTTTTAGGGGCTCATTTTCGTGAAAGAGCCATACTTCAACGAACCTGGATTCGAGAAATATCAGGGAACTGAGAAAGGTGACGACTGTTCGAAGAAATACAATCTTCAAGTTGAACATGCGACTCTTAACTACGCTATCAGAGCTCAACTTGAAAATCCGCCAGAGTATTTTAAGGTCCTTTTCGTAGATCGTATGATTTTGCATTGGTTATGGACGTTGATCGTTTCCAGAATGTTATACAACGGCATTTCTGGCTAAAGAGGCATGCAATCATCGAACAGGCGAAAAACTGGATGACAGAAATGAGAAAAGATGCGAATGAAAGTGAGCGTTCTCCGAAACGCAGAGAAGTTCCTTCCTTCGAATCCCTGTATAACCCCTATCATCAGTTAAGTGCTTAAGTGTTAAGTCTAAGCAATTCAAAATTCTCACGTATCAATACGAGTATCATGTTCTGGTCTCGAAAATTTCTGTTCTGGGAAATAATCATTGTGTTTTTACATATTTTAGGAGCGCCCAGTTCAGCAACTAATGAATGATCTCTCTAGCATGCCATGTCCAGTGGACAACTGTACGTTCTTTATCTCTCAATCAACTTTTCTTTTCTCACCTTCTCACTTTCCAAAAAATCAGAGAAGTGTAGCGAGCACGTTCTGTGGAAGTATCACGGAAAGATTCATCAGAATTTCGATTGAAGCCGGATTTTTTTGTTTACGTCTGAAGGAGAAAGGGGTGGAAGAGTTCCAAAGTTGAGAATCTTCGAACAGTTTCCAGCAGTAGTAGGTAGACCTATTATGTGACATTCCCCACATTTAGAGGAGATGATTTGCGGAAACCTGAGAAGATAGCCAGGAATCTCTCCACAGACGTAGACTCCAGTTACTTCTCTGTAAGATTGATGTAGAATATTTGGTCACGGGTAAGCGCTCCGTCCGTGGTGTGGCCCCAAACATCACTCTCCGTCATGCCCTAAAATAAAAATCAGATTTTTGTTTGCATTTCCAGATGAACTCGCAGACCTGAGATGTGCCCCCGGTACTGTAATTCTCCCTGATAGAAAAGGGGTGCTATTTCTGAATAGGACTATTACATTACTGCCTCCCCATGTTTTGAAATCTTTGGTTTTTTCATTTCTCGTTTTTCTATCGCTTCCCACCTATTGCGCGCCAATTGCGCATTTCACATATTTGGTCCACTAATTCTTATCTTCGTATATTGGGTGCCCAAAATCTCAAAGTTTCATTTTTCGTCGAAACTTTGCCTATTGGGGTAATTCGATGCCCTGATTACGAATATGACATTCATTCTCGTAGTGTGGCCCCAAACATCACACCTCGCCCCATTTTTTGCGACATGTTCCATGTTTAGAGCAGATGTTATGTAGAAAGCTGTGAAGGCAGCGACGAATTTCCTTTACTGTCGTAGACTACGGTCACTTGTCTGTAGGAATTACATAGAAACCTTGGTGGCAGGTGAGTCTTCCTTCCGTAGTGCGAGCCCCTAACA